GGAGAATAACCTCTGACCTACTTTCGCTGCCTAGTGAACAATTATTCTCAAGCTAAGTCTGGCATATATTTTGGGGAGACAACTTAAGAGAAATCCTTCTGTTCCTCACATAGTCCTATCATTTTCCACAATGCTTGTACATATTTACAAGCCTATCAGCAATGTAGAAGAGTTCCCATCTCTCTGCATCCTCTCCAGCATTTGTTGTTCTCTCTTACCTTTTACGTGGGTCATTTGTTTTTCTCTTATTGAGGTGTTATAGAATTCTATGGAATTTAGTAATTAGTCCTTTGTCTGTTCTACCATTGTTAAAGATTTTTTCTCCATCTGTGGGCTCTTATTTTACATGAAATCTTTGGCATGCATATGTGTTTCATTTTTAATAGATCCTAGTCATCTATTTTGTCTTCCATTGTGTGTTGCTTTTTGTATTATACTTAGCTGTCTGTTTATGCCTTGCAATAGGGCCTTTAATCTTGTTCCACTTTTCTGATTGATGATCCTGATAATTCTGGGGTTCACAGGTCTTAAATCCATCTTGAGTTTGCTTTTGTGCTTGGATGAGGAATGGGTCCTGTGCCATTCTTCTGCAGACAGAGATCCAGTTTTTCCAGCACCATTTGCTGAAGAGGGTGTCCCTTTCCCATTTAATGTTCTTGGTCTTTTGTTGAAAATTAACTGTCTGTAAGTGGATATGCAAGAAGCCCTGGTGGCTCAGTGGTTGCTAATTGGGCTGCTATCTGCAAGATAAGTGGTTCGAAATCACTAGCTGCTCCATGGGAGAAAGACGAGGCTTTCTACTACTGTAAAGAGTTACAGTCTTGGAAATTCACAGGGGCAGTCCTACCTTGTCCTATAAGGTTGCTATGAATAGCATTACTCAATGGCAGTGAGTTTGGTTTTTTGGTTTGGTACGTGGATGTGAGAAATCATTGTTGAGGGCACATTTTTTTGGTGGGGGGAGTTTACATTGATTTACTTTATCTAGTAGGGGGTGGCTTCTTTCTTTTAAAAATTAAATCATTTTATTGGGGGCTCCTACAGGTCTTATAACAATCCATACATCAATTGTATGAAGCAAATTTGTACATATGTTGCCATCATCATTTTCTTTATATTTGAGCCCTTGATATCAGCTCCTCTTTTTTCCCTTCCTCCCCACCTTCCCACCCCATGACCCCTTCATAAATTGTAAATTATTGTTATTTTCATATCTTACACCATCTGTAGTCTCCTTTCACCCATGTTTTTTTGTTTGTCCCTGGGGTGTGGGGTGTTATACCTTGATCATTGCGATTGGTTCCCCCTTTCTCTCCTTTGTCCCACCACCTTCCCCACACCCTCATGATATTGGTACTCCCAGTATTGTTCCTGAGGGATTTATCTGTCCTGGATTCCATGTGTTGAGAGCTCTTATCTGTACCAGTGTACATGCTTCAGTCTAGCCGGATTTGTAAGGTAGAACTGGGGTCATGATAGTGGGGGTGCAGGAATTATTAAAGATCTAGAGGAATGTTGTGTTTTTTGCCAGTGCTATACCACACCTTGGTTGACTTGTCCCTTCCTTATGACCCTTCAGTGAGTGGGTGTCCAACTGTTTACAGATGGGTCCCCATTCTGACCACGCTTGTTCACATTGACATAATTGTTTGTTTTGGGTCTTCTGATACTTGATACCTGATCCCGTGGACACCTGGTGATCACACAGGCTGGTGTGCTTCTTCCATGTGGGCTTTGTTGCTTCCTTGCTAGATGGCTGCTTGTTTAACTTGGAGCCTTTAAGATCCCAGATACTATATCCTGTAATAGGCAGGCACCATCAGCTTTCTTAACCACATTTGCTAATGCACCTATTTTCACTTCATCAATTGTGTCAGGAAGGTGAGCATCATGGAATGCCAGGTTATTAGAACAAAGTTCTTGCATTGAGGGAGGACTTGAATAGAGGCCCAATGTCTGTCTGCTACCGTGATACTTAATATATAAATATATGTTCATAGACCTATATTCCTACCATTATATATTAATATATTTACATATATACATGCCTGTTTATACCTCTATAAATGTCTTAAATAGTTCTTTCCTCTATTTCCTTTTACTTTCTTCCTGTCCCACTATAACAGTGATTCTCAACCTTCCTAATTCCCCGACTCTTTAAAATTATGTTCATTGCTACTTCATAACTGTCATTTTGCTACTGTTATGAATCATAATGTAAATATCTGATATGCAGGATGTGTTTTCATTGCTACAAATTGAACATCATTAAAGCATAGTGATTCATCACAAAAACAATATGTAATTAGATATTGTGAAATATTTCTAATGACAAATAAATGAAATTTTGTCTTGAAGCAAGGTGTAGAGCGGGTAACAGTACTTGTATGTGGGCATATCTGCACGTGGGTGGGCCTGCCTGGAGACGGATAAAGGAGCGGTGTCTTGGTTCCTAAGACCTTTGGAAATACATGTTTTCCACTGGTCTTAGGCGACCCCTGTGAAAGGGTCGTTGGCCCCCCAAAGGGGTCGCAACCCACAGATTGAGAACCGCTGCACTATACTGTTCACCCTTCATTTGGCTCTGAGTCATTCCTCTCGGCCACATTGCATTCGAGCAAATCCCACCAGGCTTTCTACAGGGAGTGGTTTCCTTAAGTCTCTCCGTCGGACGTTTGCTCCCCTTGCAGAGCTTCTGTCTTTGAGCGTGAACACCAAGCCTGACTCCATCCACAATGTCCTTTTCCCGCGGTCGTGCATTCGGAATTTCCTCATCCGAATAAAGCAAAACCCAAGCCGGTCCTCTGTGGAAGCTGGCGTCTTTGTTAAAAGGTAAAGCGCACCTTCGGACCTGGTCAAAGTGTGAAGTGTTTAGTGTTCTCTCAACTCCTTGCGGCCCAGGTCCAGGGAATGTTTCTGACAACAATGGGTCGCTAAATATTGGTGTGGAGGGCTGTGGCCCCCCTCACCACCCGGGCTGCCAGTTTTCAAGGGCACATTTTGTATCGATGATCTTGTCAAGTTCTTATGTTCGATTGATAACCAGTTGAGTTATCCCAGTTAACATCCTGGTTCTTTTTAGGTCCTTGGAAGATTCGGCCGATTTCCTGTTACAAGCAGGCTAACGTTTCTTAGTATAACGTCATCTCCATGAATGGACTTGGTAGCTGAGCTCAGGCCTCGCTAAATTCAGCGTAATCCTCCACCTCCCTGCGCAATTCGAACTCAGTTCTTGGTGTCCTTCTGCTAGGCAAGCCCTAGCCTTATTTATCAGTTATTTCTGTCTCAACGGCAAAGTCACTATCCCCCAAAACTCCCCTTTACCTTTGGTCTGTAGTTCCTAGGCACTCCAGCCAGCACTTGTCTTGTCGCAGTGCTTGTTATCTGCGTCCCACTACTACACTCTACTTACCTTCTCAAGGCTAGCCTGTTGTTTGCTTTGTTCTGTACTTACCCTGTTTGCCCGAAAATAAGACCTACTTACAGTTTTGCCTCTCTGAAATATAAGGCATCCCCCGAAAATAAGACCTCCCTGAAAATAAGCGCCCCCCAAGCTACCATAACTCTGGACTCTGGACCATAGCGCAGCGCAGCCAGAGCAGACAGGAAGTGCGAGGTCTCCTTTAATAAAACAATAAACAATAAATGTGTACCGTATTCTTCTTCATGGGAAAATAAGACATCCCCTGAAAATAAGACCTAGCGCATCTTCGGGAGCAAAAATTAATATCAGACACTCTTATTTTCGGGGAAACAGGGTCCTTTATTGTCCCGAGCTGGCGCTTTCCTCTGTCCAATGTTGTATGTTCAGCTGTGTTGTTTGTGAAATGCGTGATGTGTATTAGGCAAAGCACATGCATACCAGCAATGAAGGAAGGAAGAGATCAATACCATCGCGCCGTGTGGTAAAACTTTTTCATTGATGTCCATTTTCAACTAGGGGCTGAGTCATCTTGTTCTTCGCGGGGCTTGAGCAGACTCGGTAGGCGCTGGGCAGATCTGATGCTGGGAAAAGGGAAGGAGCACCAGGGAGAGGAGTCCGGCGCACGAAGTCCCTCTGCCTAGAGCCGGCGACCCCACTGCTCTCGGCTCCCGACGTGATCCCTGCAGGCGAGCGGGCGGGGAGCGAGCGGAGGCGGGACTTCCGGGCGCGCGCCCGGCCGCCTTCCGGCGCGAGACGGAAGCCCGGCTCCGGGCCAAGATCCGAGAACCGGGCTGGAGGTGAGTCCCGAGCCCCGAGAGCCCATGCACTCGTCTACCAGCGGATGCCTCTCGGCCCGGCTGCTGCCGGCCGCCGCGGGACGGGGAGAACGGGTAGGGACCGGGGAGTCTGGGCTTCTCCAGCGCTGGGATCCTGGCGCTGAGGGAAGGGGGCAGAGCAGGGGCCGGCCAGTGCGAGGCGACCCCTTGGGGCAGCAGTGAGGGGCTGAGTAGGGATGTCCCAGGGACTTAGCACTTAGGCCGAAGGGGCATCAGGGGTTGGCCAGGGAAGCATCTCGGAACGAAGCCGTCCCGCGTCGGCAGAGGGTCCTGGGCTCGGGGCGGATGGCCCGTGAGGGTGGCAGGAGATGGTGAAGACCGCCGTGCTCGGTCTGGGAGAATAGAGTAGGGTCAGCCAGTCTCCGAGGGGCGTAGCTGAGAAGGGCATCTTGACCTAACGGATCCGAAAGATGACTGACTAGCCACCGAAGGGATGCTGACCTCGTCTCGCTTCACTTGCAATTAATGCTATTAACCCCCCCCCAAAAAAAAAACCCCAACTGGTGGCCGCCCCCACCCCCCTTGTGTAAATTTCAGAACAATATTTTACATCGGCAGGGGAAATGTAAACTCTTCTCACCCAGGCCCAACTAGTGTGCTTTTCTGTGTTAAATTGATAGTACTTTAAAGTTCTCATCATATAAGCAAGCCAACCAGTTTTCGTTCTGGACTGGACTGTGCAGACTTGTAGGTTGTCTTATTTCCTTTGTCATGCAATGAACTGAATGCTTTTCAAATCCCAATGGAAATCATATGGAAAGCCAGTGCCGTCAATATTTGCAGCTACAGGTTTGTACAGGTCTGTCGTTAACCTGCCCAATTCTCTGATACATTTTTCCCTAAAAGTTATCCTATTGGGTTTAGTTTGGAAATTTTTATCAGGAAGGGCAATTTCACAAAAGGGTGCAGCAAATTATTAGCAATTCCTAAGAATTTACTATTTGCTTTTATTTCTGTCTCAAGGAAATCTTTATAAGTGCCTTTGAAAGTACATAAAACATACAGACCAGTGATAAACCAAGATCTGTTGTTAAATACACAGTAGTACCTTTCATTTTTCTTAATAGCTGGGATGTAGTTTGCAGACTTGCTTTGATCATTGCTAGGAGGTAATTATTATCAGTGTTAATTATTATCTACATTGGGTTTATATTTTATAAGCTGTAATTAAAATGGATGGCCTGATCTACATAATATAAGTAGTTGGTAAATGAGTTGGATTTTTGCCAACTGTGTAAAGTAGCTAAAAGAATCCTAACACTGTGGTGGACAGTGAGATCTGATGATCGTATGTTCTTTACAGTGTTAGAACTTTTATTTTTAAAACCTGTGCTGTTGACTTTTAGATCTGATATGGTGACCTGACTTGAATTCACTCAAGTAAAGTAGAGCATTTGATATGTACTGGTGCTTCAGTGTTTTGCTAGCTCATTAGCTTAAAAAAACAAATACTGTGAATTAGGTAAAGGTTTACAAGACTGACCATCAGTTTTACATTCAACAGTTCATACAAATTTTGTTTCAACTCATCCATTGCAATCTCCTCAACGCACCATCACATAGTCCACTTTCTCCCCGTTTTTCCTACTTCCGTCCCTCCTTTTGTTCTAACCCTCTGAACTTTGTCCTTGGGTAAATTGCTGCCTTTTTGATCTTCAGTGATTGATTATTCTACCACAGTGGTTCAATTCCAGACCTGAAGTGACTGAAGACCATTGTCTCAGGCGTCTTACCTGTCTGTATCCTACCAGTAAAGCTGGTCTCTTGTTTTTGAGGTTAGCCCCACATTTTCCTCTCATTCTAGCCAGGGCCTTCTAATGTGAGTGCTTTCCAGAGCAGTTTGGATTGGTAGCCAGGTATCAGCCAGTTTTCCTAGTCTCAGGGCTGGGGAGACTGTGGTTTCCATGGCCCATTCATCGAGAGCACTAATTGTTTCTGTTGGTCTTTTGCTTTTCATCGCTTCTTTCCTCTGGATGGGAAGAGATCAGTGGTTTCACCTTACATTGCTGACCAGGAAGCTTTGAAGAGCTGTGCTGGTGTAAGTAGACTACTAGAGTCCTGATGGTGAGGGGCACAGCCGATGTTTGAAAAAGTAAAGCATAAACAGTGCCTTATCTTGTAGCTGCTGAGCATATTGGATACTTTTCAAAAGAGGGACTGAAAGCGACCCTGCTCTATAAAGTTAATGAATTAACTGCTATATGGATTTCTATACATGTCTTAATTTAAACTTCTTTAAAGTAGACAAGACTGCTTATCTGTTAAGGCTTGCTCTTGTTTTTCCACGTAGTCATGGATTTAACAATACATTTTCCCCTTCCCCTCAGATTTTGGGAAAAAAGCTGTTGAAAAAGCTTGTAAGTCTTAACATCTTAATTCCTGCTTGGAGGCAGTGTGTGTTGTTGAGACAAAAAGGGCCTGCATTCCGCTGCTGCCCAGTTTTTGTTATATAACGGAATGGTCTGTTTGAAATTTGATTTTCCTTTGTTCATAATTTTGGGCATTTGTGCTCAATGCTCTAATGATAGAATATAGTTTTCAGCTTTTGCTCTTGATAAGATATATGTTATTAATATTTTGGGTTTAGTTGTTTTTACAGTTTAACCAATAGTTACATTTTTAAAATTGGGATAGTGGTGGCAAATTACTAGTGATTCTGTACCTTTACTATTACTGATATGGTGAAATAGGTATCTATGTATTGAAAGAACTATAAAATAACCAAGGACTTCTGCACGTATATAACTTATACATTTTATTTTCCTTAATTATCAGTTTGTAGTATACTAAGTAATTTGGCATATTGATTTTGGGGGCGGTCTACATTTTCTGGCTATCAATTTTATTTTCAGAAAACCATTTCCTGCCACTGATACAATTGGGAGAATTGATTACAATGGAGAGGTATGACTTCTGCACAAGCCTAACCCTACTACCTTCTAGTCAACTGCTGCTCATGGCATCAATTTGAGGCAAACTGCCTCAAACAGTTGCCAAGGCCACAGATCTTTAGAGAAGTAGAGCATTGTGTTAGTCTGGGTAGACCAGTGAAACAAATTCATAGAAACTCATGTGAATAAGAACGAGGTTTATATACCTGTAATGAGAAAACATTCCAGCTCAGTCCAGATCAAGTCTATAAATCCGATATTATTAGCCCAAATGTCCGATACCAATCTATAAGGTCCTCTTCAGACTCACAAAACACATGCAATGACGTCGAATGCAGAAAGATCACAGGCCAGTGGGTTGGAAGTCTTGTGGATCCAGTGGCGTGGTAAGCATCTCAGCACTGGCAGGGGTCTCTGCTTGGCTTATCCGGCTCCCAGGGCGTAGCACCTTGTATTTTGTCAGTAGAGTATCGTCTCAGGGAGTGAGTATTTTCAGTAGTGTCTCCAAGGGATTGAGTAATGAGAGACAGTCTCTTCCACCTCCAAGGAGGAACTCTAGCAGTTCCCAGAATCCTTAGGAGAAGGCCATGACCACACAGAGTCCTCATTGGCTATATCCTGATTTATAGGCTAGACCCCATCCCTTCACTCTTAATCCTCTCAAGTCCCAGATTGACACCAGATTATGTAAGTACCATAAGTGCTATATCTTTCTCTTACAGAGGGCTAGTAGCTTTGACCTGCTCACCTTTTGGTTCACAGGCAAGCCCTTTAACCACCATGCTACCAGGATTACTGTTACTGGTAATATCAAATAGAGTATTGACCTACTGGCCAACTGCCAGCTATTCCACCGCCCATGAAGCTGATTATGACTCTCAGCAAGACTGGCTGAAGCAGAGCATCAAAGCCGCACTTAGGGTCTCTGTTCTGTCCCCTTTCCTTGCTGTGTTAGACATTTTCTTTCATTGTGATCAAAAGGATCTGGGCTTCAGAGTGACTCATCTGGGGATCAGAGTAGCCAGATAGGACTGCCACCCTCTTAGGATGACCCTGCTTATTATCTTGAGCTTAATTCCACACATTTTAACAAAGCTCCCAGCATCTAGGCTTACAGTTATAATTTTGAAATACTTGGTGAGATTATTGTTCATTTGAAAAAGCGTTTTAGAACTACAGTGAACCCTCGCCACTTCGCGCTTCGACTTCCGTGGCTTCACTCTATCGCGATTTTTGCATAACAGCGCATGCTCTGTCATTACTGCCACTGATTGGCTCATACTGTACACGCTTGATGCCATAAATAATATAATAAATAATAAATGATAATTGTAACGTCCAAAATGTTTTACTGTATTTTCCCTTTTTCATTTAATAAATTGGGTAATACGAGTGTAATGGTGACTAAATGGTGTTTTTTCATGTCCTCTATGCTCTAACTACGAAAATATTTGATTTACAAATAAGGAATCCTACTTCGCGGAATTTCATTTATCACGGTAGGGTCTAGAACCGATTAACCGCGATAAACGAGGGTTCACTGTAAATCATAATTGATGAGATTATATGAATGCAAGTCAAAAAGTACTGGTATGGAATCATAGCAATATCAGAATGTGAAGCTACTGTTTCTTGACTTAGCCTTCACCGAACTTGATGTACTCTGTAGCCAGTGTTCCCATTGTTTCACCCTTCTCTGAAGAAGTCTGTGCTCATCAATTTATATTGCATCAACATGGCAGTTTGAGCATTTTCCAGGACACACATTGTGTTCTTTTGAGTTTTGAGAGCAAAAAGAACTCGGAAGGGACAAGATGAGAAAACGTTTAAGTGGATGAAGTAAAGTTTCTCAGTGAAATTCTTTTAGAACAGCCCCCTGCTGCTTTTGAAGAATGCGTAGGTGCATTGTCATGGGAAAAAAATGCTTGGCGTAACTTTTTCTCACTAATGCAGTTTTTAATTTTTGGGGTTCTTCAAGAAAATCTATCCAGATTACCCCTTGGCAGCCCCTCAAAGCCATCATTGTGACCTCTCTGCCTTGAATCAACAGACTGAGCAAATCCCCTGGGAAGTCACCATTTTGATCGGAACTTCTTTTGACGGCACTCTGTAATTGCATTACTGAGAAAGCCTGTCTGCAGCTATTCACTGATCACAGAGACATATTTAATCATGCTTTGTTTGGCAGAAACCTTGACATATCCTTGATGTAAGTGGTTACAAGGATAAGTCAAAAAGCATTGCTGTCCTGGTTATTACACTTGTGTATAGACTTTGCTCAGGTTTGCTTCTAGTGAGGCGTCATATTAAATTATCTATAACCTTACTGTTAAAATAATTTGTTACACTTCACAATCGCAAGTATTGTAGAAAATATACTGAGTATTCTTGGCTTTTGTTGCTAGTTTTATTTGGTGTGAGAGTCTAAGGAAAGGCAGGGTTATTGCATAAAGGATCTGGGTAAGGATTGGGAAGTAGACAGTATATCCCCGTGCTATGCTGATGATGAACAAGGGTTGGCTATGGTCAGAAGGAATGTCTTAGCACTGAGGTCATTTAGAATTTCTAACTCATCATGATAATGGAAAACAGACAGATTTTTAGTTGGCTTTATTGTTTTTCATTCCCTAGAGAGAATGCATTCCCTTACTGCATGCTCCAGGCAAGCCCGTCCCACCTGTCACAAGAATGACCTGGCAGAGGCGCTAGATGTCCAGTGTCCAGGCTAAGAGGAACCCTAGTAGTATAAATCATCAGCTTCTCCGTGGGCGATAGATGAGGCTTTCAACTCCTGTAAAGAGCTACACTCTTGGAAACCCACAGGAGTAGCTCTACCCTGTCCTATAGGGTCACTGTGAGTCGGAATTGACAGATGACTGCGAGGGAATCATGGAGAGGCTTGAGGTAGACCTTTGAACTGGTTCATTCTGGATTGACCCTTACAGCTGAGACAGATGCAAATGCTCAGCTGTGAATCAAACCAAAATGGACTGGCTCAAAGCCCTGATTTGAGAGAGAGTTGAGCTGTGACTAGAAGAACAATTATTGACGTTTATTTTAGCACGAATATTGGTCAGAATTGGAATTGACCAGACAGCAAGTAACAACAACATTTTCAGTCTTGAGAAGGGGAAGGCACGGACATATTGAAGACATTGTAGATGTGAGAAGACCAAGCACTAGAAGTGAGTGAATTTGTGTTACGGGGTTGGGTGGTGGTGGGTAGGGATGAGGAAGAGGCAGACTCGGGGAGCTCAAGACTTTTTCATTAGAATTCTGTAACTATTATGGTATTAGGTTTACCTCTTAATATTTTAAATCTGATACTATTTCATAGTAATTGAATACATTTGCAAAGATGGTTAAGGTTGCAAAAATAAATAGTAAAAGAAACCTGTGTAAGGCTGGGTTCTCTCGAGAAAAAAGCCCAGTGATGCTTGTACATGTGTGAACACAGGAGATTCCTATAAAGAAATGCCAACACAGAGAAGGGGTAAGTCCCGTTTGTTTCAAGTGTGGGGGTCACTTGTAAGCTAGACGCTTCTCCTGACTCATGTACCTGCAGAGGCTAAGAGCAGGAAGCAGGAAGACAAGCAAGAAGACCATAGACTGGTGGATGCAGAGCCGAATGAATGATGTGTGCCAAATAAAGCCAAAGTCAACCATCAGCTGATGGCTCCTGAGACCAGCAGGCAATTACTGACAAACCAGATTCAGGGTCCAGATCCAGTAGAAGGGAGCTAGTTTCCTCACAGTGTCAGTCTACAAAGAGTTGGCTACACCTGAATGAACCCTCCTTCAATTGTATCCAGGCTGTGACCAGATCAAGGAGGTGGTACTCTACCTCAATCTTCCCACAACTGTGTGGCTGCTTCACAGAAGATTCCCTTAGGGAGTTGAACACGCTATGTGAGGGTATATAATGGGAGGATCTGGGCCTCCCAGAGTTGACATAAATCTAGCAATCACCAAGCCCCGTTCACCCTTTATCCAGATCCACTTATTTTTAAAGATTCTACCACACTTGTAAACAAAGATACTTTTGATTCAAACAATGTCTTTATAAAGTTTATCTACTTTGTTTCTCGTCCTAATAAAGTTATTTATGGACTCCAATTCATAGAATCCTAGACTTTGGAAAATGATCTTGATTCTCTTAAGAATTTCTTTTAAGAATTCTCCCCTCCCTGGGGGACGGACATCAGAAAAGTGGGTGAAGGGAGACATTGCACAGTGTAAGACATGAAAAAATAATAATAATAAATAAATTATCAAGGTGGGAGAGGGGGGAAATGAGCTGATACCAAGGGCTCAAGTAGAAAGAAAATGTTTTGAGAATGATGATGGCAACAAATGTACAAATGTGCTTGACACAGTGGAGGGATGGATGGCTTGTGATAAGAGTTGTACGAGCCCCCAATAAAATGATTTTTTTAAAAGAAGTCACTACAATTGAAAAAAAAGAAAAAAAAAAGCTCTTAAGATGGTAAATGTTGACCAACCCCGGATAGATGGGTTTTGATTTCTTAAACTTCCATAGCCTCTTCCAGGGTCTTATCCTGACAAGAATACAAATTCCTCCTGTCTGTGTATTGCTCTTTATTGTACATATCTTCATTGGACCCTCAAAACAAGCATGTAAAGTTTCTTCCTTAAAATGCTTCCTCCTCCATTCCCCGCAAATCTTGGCTATATTTATCTTGTATCCTTTAAGCTCAGCTCCGTAATCCATACACCTGGGTTATAGAAAACAACCAGACAGCATCTCTTTCGGGATCACTTAACCGTTCTTTAAGAACTGCTTTGTTAACTTTCTTAAAGGCGCTTTGGTGGTGCTGTGGGTTAAGTATTGTGCTACCAACCAAACGTGTGGCCGTTCAAACCTACTCTTCAGTAGAAAGATAAAGCTATATGTTCCCATAAATATTGATAGTCTTAGAAAGGCTGTATGGAACCCCTATATAGAATCAGACTGGACTCAGTGGCAGTGCGTGGGAGGTAGGTAACTTTTCTCAAGTAAGGCTACCATAATTTGTGAGGCGTTCTATCTAGTCAGTCGGTTCACAGGGTGGTGCAAACAGTTTGTCCCTGAGTGCTGACCGAAAGGTTGATGGCTGTAACTTTCCCAGCAGCCCCGGTTATCTGCTTCCCTAAAGGATTACAATCAAGAAAACCCTGCGGAGTTATCTCCACTCTGCTGTAACACATGGGCTTGCCGCGAGTCAGAATCGGTTTGCTGGCAATGGATTTCCCCCCCTTGTTTTCTCTTTCAAGGTTCTGGGTTTTAGCTTTGGGGGGGAAAAAAAGTCTGACTAGAGTACTAAGATTGATAATTTATTTGAAAATACTTATCAAGTATTCTTCTTACAGTTATTTACTAAGAGGTTGTATCCTTGTACCTGAGATGTAAAAACCCAGAAAGGTTACATGATTTGTCCAGTGTCCTAGGGAGTTAGGCTGTGTTAGAATTAGGATGTAATCCCATGCCTTCTAACACTGAATCCGATTCCCTTTTCCTTCTTGCTAAGACTTTTTATTGTGAATTAGGCGAAGGTTGATAGAGCAGAATATCAGTTTTACATTCAGTGGGTCATACACATTTTGTTTTAGCTCATCCATTGCATTCTCCTCAATGCGCCTCATTTAACCCACTGCTTCCCTGTGGTTTCTTTTTCCTTTCCTCCCCCCTTCCTGACCCGCTCAACTTTGTCCTTGAGTAAATGCTGCCCTTGATCTTAAATCATGGATTATTCTACCACAGACATGAGTTCAGTTCTAGACATGAAGAGTGACCAACAGCCAGAGTCCGGGGTCCTAC